CAATTTTGTAAAAAAATTTGGCATTACATTATTCATAGGACTTTTAACTGGCACTTTCACTTTTTGTTAGTAAAATTTAGTTTTTGTTTTAACCAATTAGTAATATGCTCCTGGTTCAATCACCCTTAGTATGCGCCCGGTCATCTTCTTCAATCCTATTTTTCTCCCTAAAACTGAACATTACATGTATCCTATCCATTTACTTACTTTTTGATTTAGTCCATTATGGAAAAGGTTAATAGAATTTCCCAAATTTACTCCGGGTGACCCCCAAATGCGAATGTTCCTTACACCGTTTTGGATGAAAATGGTTTATCCTGGAAAACACAATCCAGATGATCACATTGTTTTCAAGGTCCATCCACAGTTCGTCTTGAGTAATACTCAATCTAATTTAGAATGACCAAATATGATGTTCAACAATATTTAGAGAAACTCTATGATGTGCCTGTAATGAGAGTTCGCGTCAAGAGCGTTTTCAATGATTGTGCGTTAAATATTTACATTAATTCTCCTTAGTAAAACCAAGAAAACTTGAGAAAAAGATGGTTCTTGCTCCCCATGTCGACAGAATTAAGGCGGAGCCTGAACGCTACGAAAAGATTGCGTATGTCCACTTGGTAGGTTAATATCGTGACTTAAATGAGGAAATAATACTTTTAATTTTATTTCCTAAAATTTTTATTATGTGCTTTTTATAGGCTCCTGGGCATACTTTTAAGTTTCCGGATATATTTGCCGAGAAAACTCCATCCGATACACTGACCAAATTGGCCGATCAGGCTAAGAAGTTAGCATCCGCTGGCGAAGATAAGGATTATGAAAAAGTTAAAGAGCATATTGGGACAACTAAGCCTAGCAAAACACTTCAGAAAATTGATAAAACGAACCGAATTCCGAGTTGGTTTTTGGGCTAATTTTTATTACCAAATTTTTTCTGTAAATAACATCCGTGCCTGTTCTAACTCTTTTAAATATTTTATTTTCATTATCCATTCTTAT